TTGTTTATTGTAGCCACACTAAAAATCAAACTGTTTGAATGACAGCCTTCTGTTGTTTGGGCCATCCTCTGGAGTGGAGTGGCTGGATGCCTGGAGCCTTCCCCCCAACCCTCCCCCGGTGTTCTTGGGCGTCTGGGTGAGGAGGCTATGGAACATGGGGAGGAGGGTAGGCGGTTATGCAGTGGATGCAGCGGAGATCTGTGCTCTTGTTGGCTTTCCTGCAGCTCCAGAAGATGCTTCATCATGTCCGTTTGCTCCCCCATTAGCCCCAACATCGCATCCTACCTCCGCTCTTCACACTCACTTCTTTCCTGGGCTCTGCCACTGAATGCCTCCATGCATTAAGCTGTGCCCTATCAGTGCGGGAGGACTGCATGAGCTTGGAAAACATGTCATCGCGAGTATGTTTTTTTCGCCTTCTAATCTGCGATAACCTCAGGGACGGAAATGATTGGAGGAGCGTAGAAACATTTGCACCTGGGGGGAGATAAAAAGGGAGAGGGCTTCTTATGCCTTCATAACATGTGGGAATGTTTTCAAACTGCAGCACCCCCCTTTCCCAGAGCAAGCAATGGGTCGGGTTTCACATTTAAAAGGAGGGGCTGCAGTATTCGGGTAGATGTGCAGCACACACCTACCTCTACCTCATCATGTGGCTATTCTCCGAGATGATCCCTTCACCCCTTCCCCACTGCGTGGCTATTCTCTGGGATGATCCTTTTTAGCCAAACGCAGACAGCCCAGCCTGAATGGCGTCCTTTTACTGTTCCCTTACAAAAATTCCCCTATTTCAACTAGGTGACCATGAACACTATTGCTTTTAAACCCTGTACTGTAGTTACAAATGTGCACTCACCAGAGGCGCCTTCTCTGGTTTCAGGGTCGGGGATCCCGCCTTGGGAGGGTATTGGCTCCAGGGTGATGAAAAGGTCCGGGCTGCTGGGGAGAACAAATTCACCGCTTGCCTGCTACGCATTCTTCTCCTCTTCATCATCCTCCTCTTCCTCATCCACAAAATCCTCCTCTGTGTGACGTGAGACTCCCCCCTTGCAGGTGTCCACGGACAATGGTGGGATAGTGGTAGGGTCCCCCCCTAGAATGGCATGCAGCTGTTCATAGAAGCAGAATATATGGGGATCTGACCCAGAGAGACCGTTTGCCTCCTTTGTCTTTTGGTAGGTTTGCCTGAGCTCCTTAACTTTCACATAGCACTGCTGTGTGTGTGTCCCTGGTGTAGCCCTGTCCAACATGCCTTGTGAGATTTTGACAAATATATTTGCATTTCTTCTTTTGGATTGGAGTTCAGCCTGCACAGATTCTTCTCCCCTAACAGCAATCAGATCCAGTGTCTCCCTTTCGGGCCAGGCTGGAGCTCGTTTGCAATTCTGGGACTGCATGGTCACCTGTGCTGCTGCAAGCTGCTGAGCTCACCACGCTGACCAAACAGGAAATGAAATTCAAAAGTTCCCGGGGCTTTTCCTGTGTACCTGGCTAGTGTATCAGAGTTGAAAGTGCTGTCCAGAGCGGTCATAATGGAGCACTCTGGAGGCCAATACCGTCGATTTGCGTCTGCACTACCCCAAATTCTACCCAGCAAGGTCATTTTTAGCGCTGCTCCCCTCATCGGGGAAGAGTACAGAAGTTGATTTTAAGAGCCCTTTAGGTCAACAGAATGGGGTTGGTTGTGTAGACGCAGTCATTTTTAAATCAACCTAACGCGGCTAAATTCGACCTAACCCCATAGTGTAGACCAGGCCTGAGTCTAATGAGTTCCACCGTTTTTCACCAGTTTGAATTCAGCTCAGCTCAGTAGATTAAAAGTTGTTCCCATCACATGGATGTTTAGTGGCCCTACATGAGAGAAGTTTGGTGGGATGCAATTGCAGCTCCTGTGTTAGAAACTCTATGCTTTGCATAAGATTGTAAACTTTTCAGAGCACACAATTACCATATGCTTTTACAGGGCTTAGAACAAGGAGGCTGCACCAATCTCAGTTGAGTACCCTAGGGAGAGCTACAGCTGGAGGGGTCAAAACTATATTATTTGTGATACATTTGAAACACTGTAATTCTCCCACATAAATTAGGGGTGGGGAAATTTAAAATTCTGAAGATGGACAAAAAACATGTCACCCTTTTGTAAATCTTATGACTCATGATTTTTGAACTTTTGCGTTAGCAATACTGTCCTAGTTCTATTAATGCATCCAAACTATAAGTGCAGATAGTTTTTGTGGGTATTGTACTTTATTCAACTACCTTAAATCTGTCTTTTCAACACTTTTTTCCCCATTTCAGTAAGTCTTCAATGTTCTGCACTTTGCTAAAACCATGTAAAATGAGTTAATATCAAATCTAGATTAAATTACAGTAGATGCCAAAATATATTAAGTAGTTCCAATACAACATACCAATGGAGCCCTCTACAGGTTATTAGTTCAAACTGATTGTTTCATAGCAAGATATAATATTGCCAATTACATATTTAATTGTCACAATCATGCATGTCTCCTAGTTTATCTTACTTTTAATGGGTTAACACAGATCCAGAGTACATTTAATTGGTTAAACTTAAATGAGATGGCCACTCTATAACGACATCTCTCAAGAGACCAGTTTAGCCTAATCATAGTGTATGGTAATGACTGTTGCTTAATTGGGATATAATTAACATAAATCTGCTTAAAAGGGATACATTCAGCGAGCATTAAGGGGTTCAGTGTTGCTTACTTCAGTGTAAAACTCTGATAGCTAGTTTTTTAACCCAGAAGTTGACAAATAAAGATTAAAAGATGAAAAAATAAGGATCGAATATAAAAGAAATGCAACTAATATAATGTTTGTTCTGGTATTTTTATTCAGCACAGTATTTTATTTTAAGACCTTATTGGAATATTTTAAATGGTGATGTCTTTTAATTGGGATGACAAGCTATCTTTCAGGGTTCCAATTTAAAAGATCCATCCAGCTAAAATATTTTAAACACATTTTTATAATCTAGAGAGAAGCAGATGATTCTGCCAATCCTGCTGTGTACTAATCAATGAACTAGGAGACGTGTATTATACAGTCAAGAATTGAGTAGAGGCATTGGCATTTCTCAGAGGAAGATTAAATTGTAAAAATTCAATAAAAACATTTCTGATGTTTTGCAATTTTAATTTTTCACACATTTTTCTTATTGGTCAGTCACCATTAGTCAAATTAAAATGTCTTTGTAACGACACTAAATTATCTTTCAATTAATTAATTATACTATTCATTTTTTAAAGATATTTTAATTTCATTTAAGCAGTTAAGATCCAGTCCAACATTCAGCTGAAAGTCTCCTATTTCAGTGGGATTTGGCTTGAACGCTTTATTTTCTGTTTTTTTCTATAGGCTCAAATGCATAGATCACAACCTTAGCCTCTTCTCTGACATGATTTCTCTGCAGCTCTGTTCATGGCTATTTTGCAAATAGTGAACGCCATGGCTTTTTGGTGAGTCTGGGGCGGAATGCAATACTTGTGTCCTGACACCTATGTCCTCTTTTCTGACATACACATATGTAGACAAGATAGCCTGAATGTCACAATTGTCTGTGTCACATTATAAGCTACTTCAGAATTATGCATAAAGTTGTGGTGGTTCTTAATGCCTTTTTCTAGTAGATTGCATCCTTTCCTTTGAAATGCATTTCACTGCATTTATTTATGTCACTGTTACCTGTGGGCCGATTAATGCATTCTATTAGAGCAGCTCTTGATATGTCTCTTCACTGCAATGTGGGGTGAGTAGCTTTGAGTGCATGACACTCTGTGTAATTCACCTATCTATAAGAATTTTTAAAACACCCATTATGTTAGTGGTGGGCAGTTAAGATAATCTTCTTCCCTATGACAGGTTTCAGAGTAACAGCCGTGTTAGTCTGTATTCGCAAAAAGAAAAGGAGTACTTGTGGCACCTTAGAGACTAACCAATTTATTTGAGCATAAGCTTTCGTGAGCTACAGCTCACTTCATCGGATGCATACTGTGGAAAGCGTAGAAGATCTTTTATACACAAAAAGCATGAAAAAATACCTCCCCCCACCCCACTCTCCTGCTGGTAATAGCTTATCTAAAATGATCACTCTCCTTACAATGTGTATGATAATCAAGTTGGGCCATTTCCAGCACAAATCCAGGTCTGCTGAGCCTTTGGCTGTTAGTTCCCAGGTCAGCAGTAGGGCATTCTCAGTTACAGGACCCCACTTTTGGAATATGTTCTCTGTGACTGAATTTGTTTTGTTTAGTCATGCTTTGGATTGAGCATTCTTTGTTTTAGGTGGCTGGATGTTTTAGCTCAGATGAGCTTTTATGAATAGTGGGAGCTTTGAGATGTTTTCAGTACTGAATTTCTGTAGTAATTATTGTACAGTAATTAGATTATTTTCTTTTTGATGCCAAGCAAGAGAGTAAACAAAATAAGAAAAAGAATCTTTCATTTTAAACGAGAAAATGAAGAACTGCAAGATTATTTACTAATGGCCTTACTAACGACTAACCTTCAGCACCTTCCAACCAACAGAGCCATTAAATCTTTCACTGATCCTATTTTACAACATAGAAATGGGTAGAATGTGTTTAAGAAATCAAAAGGGTTATGATCCCCAGTATTTTATAGCAAAATACTTGCTGTACAGGACTGAAAGTTTTGGCATTAGTTTTATTATTTACTTACTTGGTTGTTCAGCTGCCTGTTTTTTATTGTCTTTTTCTCAGGTACAAATCTCACAAATCACCTTCTCTCAGAGCCAGCTGCAGTGTTAGGAACCTGACTACTCTCAGTAATCCCCAAAGCACAGTTTAGAACAAGATTTCAGATATATGACCCTATAACAAAGGTTCTAAAATGGATCACTCTGGGGTGTGAAGTTCCTACCACACACAGGTTTAGGGAAAACTCTTGACTGGTGACAAATAATTATTGAAGATTGAAAGTAGAGAGAAACAAATAATGTAAAGACAAGTTTCATGTCTTGTTCAAAAATATATATATTTATTATTTGCATTATTAGTGTCTAAAAACCCCAGTCATGGACCAAGGCCTTTTGCGCTAAATGCTATACAAATACAGAACCAAAAGATAGTCCCTGCCCCAAAGAGCTTACAATCTAAGTACAAGACAAGAGACAACAGATGGATAAACAGATCAATGGGGGAGTACAAGGAAACAATGAGATATCATTGATCAGCATGATAGGCAGCCTAGCTTTTGTCAAGTTCTTTGAAGGTATCATGGCAAAGGAAATGTTTGAGGGAGGCAGGTTTGAAGCAGGAGAATGAGTTAGTTTAGTGGATGTTTATGAGGAGCTCCTCCCAAGTGTGAGGGGCAGGGTAGAAAAAAGCAGAAAGGAACTTTTTTGGAAATGTAACAAGTAGGTGATGGAGTTTGACATCATGGGCTGATTGGAGGAGGGAGTCAACACTGTGATGCTGAATGAGAGATGAAAGATAGGGTGGGGCTAGAGCGTGAAGGGCCTTGAAAGTGAAGACAAGCAGTTTATGTTTGGTACAATAGTGAAAGGGAAGCCAGTGGATGGAAAGAAAGGGTAACAAGTTTAAAGCAACACCTCAGAAAAATTATCTTTACAGCAGCATTATGAATGGATACGAGTGGCAAAAGATTACATTTGTTAAGGCCAGAGAGAAGGATGTTGTAGTAATCGAGACACAAGATGATGACAGCCTTGATGAAAGTTTTAGCTGTGTGGATGGACAGGAAAGGACATATATTAGGGCTTGTCTACACTTAAAAGGCTGCAGCTGTGCTGCTCTAGCACTTCAGCAAAGACTGTTCCTATGCCAACAGGAGGACTTCTCCTGTCCTCTTATGTACTCCACCTCCCTGAGAGGCACTAGCTATGCTGATGAGAGAAGCCCTCCCATCAACATAGCACTGTCTACACTGGGAGTTGGTATAACTGCATCACTCAGGGGTGTGGATTTTCTACATTTCTGAGTATTGTAGTTATACCAACATAAGTTGCTGGGTCAGACCAAGCCTTGGAGATGATATTGAAAAAGAATGAGTAAGGCTTAAGTTTTGTCTATGCTGTCCCGCAGTGGGGACTATGAGAGCATGAACTACAAAGAGCACCAAAGCATTGCACTCTAACTGCCCCATGTGGACACTGCTGGAGAGAACTTAAAGGTAGCTAGTTTGCATTAAAGTAGTCCTCTTTCAAACAGCACACTTTGATGCACTCTGCAATTTATACCCCTGTAGTATGCACCACCATACAGTAGAGACAGTCTTAGACATAGCTTGGGTGTGAGTGTGATGTTGTATGGAATCTGGGAAACACTTTAGGATATTATGACTACCAATACTGTAAAATGGCAAAGAGTTGTGTCAGATATGCCACGTGAGGTATCTGAGAAAATGTTATAAATTTGTAATCTTGTTTATGTTATAGATATGTAGGGTATATCTGTATTTCAAACATGTGCTGTGCATCTGGGTGACATTCCCAGACAGATTGGCATAAGAATTGCCTAGCCTGCTTGATGGCCCATCAAGGGACATAAATTGTACAATGAACCCATTGAAAGGGTCAGGGATGCACCTTATGACTCAGAAAGGCATGCAGGGGCATGCCTATGGACAGAACTTTAAGGCTTCCAGGTCACGTGCTGGGCAGCTTGTGTTTGGAACAAAGGACATTCAAGCTGCATTGCAAAAGACTATAAAAGGCAGTTGCATCTTCTCCATTTTCTTTTCATTCCTGATTCTTACCTCTGGAGTAACCTTTCTACAATAGAAGCTCTGAACAAAGGACTGAATGACCCATCCAAGCTGTGGTTGTGTTCCACAGGGACTTTCAAGCCAGCAAATTCATCAATACCACTAGGAACCTGATATATGGACTTTGAAGTCTTTGTATGTATGTGACTGCTCTAATATTTAACCATTTCTTGTTCTTTTTTCTTTATAATAAATCTTTAGTTTTAGACACTAAAGGATTGGCTAGCAGCATGGTATTTTGGGTAATCTTTGGGTATTTTGTAATCTTGTTTATGTTATAGATATGTAGGGTATATCTGTATTTCAAACATATGCTGTGCATCTGGGTGACACTCCCAGACAGATTGGCATAAGAACTGCCTAGCCTGCTTATCCAAGCTTACACTGACCTGGTAACGTGGCTGACCCTTTGGGGTCAGAAGAACATTTTGTATATGTGAGCAGAGTTTTTTAAATAACTTCTCATGGCACTGAACCTCTGGGCTGACTAGGAGCCAGAGAGCCAGAAAACAATAAAGGGGCTGTGTGATTTTGCTTCTTGCTCACCAGTGGGGGGGATCAGAAGCAGAGTTTGTGACTGATTGAGGAGTTTGAAGTCAGTGTTACCCACCAGCCTTGGGAGTTTCTGCTCTCCCTTTTGTAGCCTGCCCTGACCGTGGCATTTCCAGTGAGGGCTGCCCTAGGCACCATAGGTCACAGTGAGGACTTAGAGATAGGTCTGAGTCAAGGATGGCACCCAGAGTACAGGCTTGAGTGACAGGAAGGATGTTATCAACAGTGATTGAGATCACTGTTGATAACAACAATGTTATCAATGATCAATGTTATCAATATCAGTGCTGTTATCAACAGTGATTGAGAAAGAGAGGTAGTGGGAATGAAGCATGGGGGGGAAATTAGTTGTTTTATCCACATCGAGCTTGTGCTGATGGCTGGACATCCACAAATATATTCAGATACCACTATATGGATTCTTAGACCAGTTGAGGTGCTACTAAAACATCATTATTTCTATTGTATGATCAAAGATCCGTATCCGTGTCCCAGAATGGTATGCTGTTCTTATTCACATTCCCTTCTAAGGCTGCACCTTGATTCAGAAAGCCCTAGGTCCTAATTTATGAAAGACTGCCTTTCTGCACATTTCCTTCCACGACAACTGAGGTCTCTGAGGTGCTTACAGTCCTAAGATCTGAACGACTAGTTTGGTACGATGCGTCCCATGAAGGGCCCTCGACTTTGGAATCTGTCTCTTATTCATCTAACCCAGAGTTTCTCAAACTGGGGTCTGCAGACCCTTGGGAGTCCATGAGGGTACTCCCCAGGGGGTCCAGGGGCCCAGGTGATCAACTCTTCCCCTTCCCTCCCTCCCAAAGCCTCCTATGCAGTGGGGAACAGCTGTTCAGCAGTGTGCAGGAGGAGGAGCAGGGATGGGGGCATAAAGAAGCAGGGAAAAGGAGGGGCAGGGGCGGAAAGAGGTGGGGCAGGGCCTGAGGCTAAGGAGGGAGCTTGGGGATCTGCAAAAAAATTAAAATCAAAATGGGGGCCTATACGTTGCTAAAGTTTGAGAAGCCCTGCTCTAACTAAACTTATGAAAGGGTAGGTTATGCTGTTCATTTGATTCTGGGCTAAGTTTGTGTGTACGTCGTAACTGGCACTTGGAGTTTGTCCATTTTAAGAAATTTGCTTTGTTTTAACCAATTCCACTACTATTTAATTTAAATCTATTTACAGTAATAGGCCTTTATCCTGCAAGCCCTTACCAACATGCTTAACTTTACTACATTAAGTATATACATATCTGCTGGATTTGAACCTTACAGTGCACTGTGATGCATAAATTATCCTTTTAAAGTGATTTTCCTGTTGAGGGTTTTATTTAAATCATGAGTGCATGGGACACTTTACAGTAGTAAAAATATATATAACACAAAGTATCTGCTCTCAAGTGTTTACAGTCTAAGCATTCTTGCTCATTCCTATATGTTGCAATTAGTTGCTTAGCTACTATGGTGATGGGTAGTATGGAAAATACTGCAAGAGAAATAAATCAGTTTTTGAGTATGAACCATTGCCATTCACTGGTTAGTTTAATTAACTGTAGTAGTCCCTACTCATATTACACCTGTATTGGATGCAAACCAATATTACCATACTCAAAACTGACCCATATTTCTTGAACATATACAAGATTTAAGGGGTGTTTTGCATTTAAAAATATTTACATTGGATACAAATATGAACAGACATAGTATTTGAGTTTTCTGTGCTGAGATAACCAAAGTCTAACAACTTGCACAAACTGGTTTTATTCATGCTGTAAAGTTACAGTGTATGCAAGTATTTTTCCCCAGTCATGTTAAAAAGCATAAGACTAATATATGTGTATGTAAGAAACTGTTCAAAACAATGATGACAGAGGAATAAAATATTCACTAATTAGAAATTTGGTTCTTTATCATCTGAACCCCTAACACATAACCTCTTTCTTGCTGTTTTTTTTTTTTAAACCCAGTTGTTTGACATTTTCTTGATCTATAACTAGTCTTGAGCCCAAAACTTCAGTGTAATTTTGATCACCAAAATTCAAGTTATTTCTTACTTCAAACTTTTTCCCAACATTTTTATACTAAAACCTACGTAAAAAAAGCAAACCAAACCCTTCCTCCGATATATGACAATCCTTTACAAAAAGAAAAAAAAAAAAGCTTAGTTTTAAAGTTAATATAGTACTCTGAGAGAAGCTATGTTGAACATTTTCTGAAATGCATACATGACAAATTTATCAAAGTGAGTATGCTACTTGAGGCCCTGATCCACCAAAGCACTTAAGTCTATGCATAACTTTATGCATGTGAGTAGTCCCATCAACAATTCATGTTTTAAAGTTAATGGTCAATACCATTGAAATCAATGGGAGTTAGGTGCCTAACTTGCTTAAAAACTTTTGAAAATCCCATTAGGCACCAATCTGTGTCTTCAGGCATCTGAATACCTTTCAGAAATCTAGCCCTAAGTGTTTTGCTGTATTGGTGTCTATGCCAGTACTAGTAGGTGTCCTCATTCCTAATGGATTTAGTTTAGCTTTAAAATAAAAAGGGGGCAAAATAATCTGACTTTGTCTTATTGAACTTGAAGAAACACATTACTTTCAGTAAACATGTTCCAAGCCAGAGAATGTGCCCTCTTATATAGAATGAAAATTGTTAAAAACCGACTCCTACTTCTTTTTGGAGGCTTGTGTTTTCTTCTCCTCCTCCTCTTGTCAAGTTCCCAGACAGAGCCGAATCAAGTGTCTGTGGGCAAATTCACCTCAAGCTCAGTTCATTAACCAGTTTTGCATTTGGAATGATAACTTCAAATTCTATTGCATTTAGGGTTCTTTAGGAAATTTAGGGCACAGTCCTAGCTGCCCCCCTTTGAAAAGACCCATAATGCCCCAGAATTGCCATGATTCAAATACAGCGAAAGCTGGGCTACAGGAAGGATGGCAGGTGGATGTCATACTCCTCATGCACCTTTTAGCATTATTCCACAGTGACTCTCCCTGTAGCACTGAGAAGATCAGGGCACGCTGGAGGTGAAGCTTGTCCCTGCAAGCTACATGAATCCAATGACCAAATTCCCCTTTTTAGCCCAAAGTCTGCAGTAGTTAGTAGAGCAGCTATCCCTTGGCTGTATCTTAGACTCCTTGTCATTGAACCTGGAGCATTCTCACAAAACCTCCTTTGAAATCTTCCAGGCAAAGCATGTTGATTCAGGCTTTCCACCACAAATAAAAATTTAGTCCCAAGTTACTTACACATATAGAAAGCTGAAACCAGCAAAAACTGTCTGAATTAACGATGTAATTATTTTAGGTTTGTCAGCAAGTAGGCTTTTAGGTTACATTTATTGTTCCATCACTTCATAAATCTATTCCTATTATAACCAACACAATCACCACTTTCCGTTTAATTCTCTGGGGGATGCCCTTATGGTTAAAAAACACTTTTTAAAAAAAATAATTTGAAAACCATTTTTTTATTATTCTTTTATGTATTTCCCTCACTCTAAAACTTAAAATTTCCTTCATAACGTTACATGAAAAGGTTATCTAAAGGAAAAGTAATCAACGTAGGTAAGGCTTGATAATCCCGTGGGGGGAAAAATGCTGGAATATTTTTGTTATTTACATTTTATAACATTTGGAAAAAAAATCACATTTGTCTCAGTTTGTAGTCATTAATTTATAAGACTAAATTATTTTTCTTAAACATATTGCTATTTACCTTTGAGACCTTTTAATAGAGAAGACTTAAAACCATGTGCTGCTTCAATTATACTTAGAATTCTAAAGTGTATTTTGAGAGTTTCCTGGAACTGAAAAAAAGCTATTCCAATTTTTAAAAATACCTACTTTATTGATTTGGCACCTATTCTCTTCCAATGTGCACATATCCACACTTTAGAAAAAAAAAGCCACTGTGCTTTCATATTAATTGATTTTTAACAAAGAAAATATCCAGCTTCTATCCACTTAAAAGTATGCAAACTATTGTATCATTATGGTGATATTCAACTTCCTCAATGCTAAAACTGTCATTTTTACTTATCAAAGTTTTTATATTGGCATGTGTGTTACTCTGTTCAGGATTGTACTATGCTATTTATTATGCTCCAACACTGTGGTCTTGCTGTACAAGACAAAGTGAGACATGTCCCTGATGCTGAAGGGCCCAGCCCTTATAAGGAAATCTGTGTGGGTGGACTCTTGGGCCTGCACAAGCTTCCCTGATTTTGGTTCGGCTCCACAAAGGTGCAGAGAACTGTCCCCACTGATCAGCTTGCAAGATCAGCGCCTAAAAAGACAAAGAGAGTACGGGATGCTTGGAAACAGAAAGGGATCCTTATTTTTTCCCTGTTATATTTATTTATAAAACTTAAGAGAACTGCTCTATGAATTCTCTTCTATGTCTAAGTTCAGAAATAGCAGTTTTGTTTGTAACGGCTGATCCCATGAAAATTTCATACAGTTTTAGAAAAACTATTTTTCATTTTCCTAATCTCACATTAAAAGGACAGACTGTGCAAATTTATTAATTAGATTAAAGGTGACTTATAACCATTTACAACACTGAACACATTTTGTTGAAAATGGCGGATTTCTTACTTATGAAGTCCTAGTATGGCAAACAACCAGCAACTCTTTTCACAAAATCCTACTTTTTCCACTGGAGGGGCAAGAGTTTTTACACAGCTACACTTGATCTCTCAATAGTCAGTCTTATTGTATAGAGGATCAAGGAAATTATCTGCAGCCAAATCACTGAACATGTTTACCACAACCTAAATACACTTGTGATACAAACTTGGGCCCATGTCCCTCAAAAGCTTGTGCACATGCTTAACTTTACTCCTATGAGTAGTCTCACTGGCATTAAGGAGACTACTCAAGCTTATGTGTGTGTGTAAACTTGGGATCTTATTATTTGGCTTATGTAGATTAATATTCAGTCTTTAATGTTAATATGTTCTTTGGAAGTCTGTACCAGATCATCTTTTCAGTTATACTGCATTCGGCTCTGGCCCAATAACTAGGTTTTTAGCCACAGTGGAACAGTCATTGGGTGACAGAGAATATGACTGTAGCACTGTGATTAGAGCACCAACCTGGGAAGTGGAAAATCTTGCATCCAGTCACCCTCCTCCATTCAAACATCATGTATCCACAGTGGAACATTTTAGGAGATTGAGAGAGACCCACATCACAATATCCCATAGCTCATTGATTATAGCACCTTCTTGAGGTGTGGGAGACCACCTAATCCAATCTTTTCCTCCTCTGGCAGAGAGGGGAATTGAACCTGGCTCTCTCCCATCCCAGGTGAGTGCTCTCTCCACTGTGCTAAAAGTTATCAAGTAGGCAGTGCCCCATTTTGTATGGCAGTGCCCCATTTTCTACGGAACATTAGAGGCCTCCACTCATTTCTGCAAAAAAATGCTGTAGGCTCCTAAGCCACCTGATTCCAGATGGGTTCCTTGTCATGGCTTGCTAAGCAAAGACAGGCACTATCTCTGACAGACAGCTGGGTCTTAGGACACACCACTCTTGTCAGCATTTGCCATTGCTAGCTTAGGCGACTCCCTGCCTAGTGTGCTATCTTTGAAGATCACATTCTTGGGTGCCTAGCTCTTCCCATACATCATATAGGAAGCTTAAATGCTATCTCAGCTTTGTGGGTCCCACTGCTCCTGTTGCCTACAGTTAGGCACTGTGATGCTGTGTGGCAAATGTCTAAGTCCCTTTTGGGATCCCACCTAAAGAGCTCAGTCATTATAAAGCATGTTTTCTAATCCTTTAAATCATTCTTGTGGCTCTCCTGTGAGCCCTTTCCAATATATCAACTGTCTTCTTGAACTGTAGATACCAGAACTGGACACAGTATGCCAGCAGTGGTCGCAACAGTGCCAGATACAGAAATAAAACAGCCTCCCTACTCTTACTTGAGATTCTCCAGGATCACAATATAGTCCTTTTGGCCAGTGTTGCAGTGGGCACTCACGTTCGGCTGATTATCCACCATGACCGCCAAATCTTTTTCAGAACCCATCTTGACCACCATGTCTCAGCTTAAATTTACAGGAGTGAGAGTTAGGGAAAAAAAACAAACCTTTTTATTTGTAAACTGATTCTGTAAAAGTTGCTTATTAACATACACCTGGTGGGATGCACGAGATCCACAACACTTTTTTTTTTTTACAGTTGTTTTTCAATGTATTGACACTTTAATTTCATAATAAAGCACTGTAAGCACAGATGGGGTATAATCCTGCACCCACTGAAATCCGTACCAAAGCTCCAATTAACTTTACATGGATATCAAATCAGACCCTTAATGAGCAGCCTATGAAATAAATATATAATTTATAGACTAGTGATTATTGAGCAGAAGATATGAAAGTCTAATCTAGCAGAGGCTAAAACATTGGCTCAGCACAAAACAAACTACTGTATGGTAAAGAGCATGAAGGTTTTTTAAGATCAGATTTTTTCTGTTTGCATGGCCATATTCATATCACATGTAAACAATGACCATTTGTAGCTGACAAGCCCAGAGTTCAAGACGGGGCTGGGTGGGAAAGAGTACCATATATATATATGTATATTAATAAAATGGAAGGAATGGTTACATAAAGTGTTATTAAAAATAAATCAATTAATATTCACTTTTTCTTTTCTTTTTCTGCTCTTCTTTTTTGCTGTAGGTTCTTCAATTCAGTCATTACATTCAATGTTTTATAAACCCAGGTAACCTGAAAAAGTAAATATATTTACATATAATGTGGACACATTAAATTTATAATCTGCTTTATTAAAAATATAAACTTAAATTAAACACATACCACTATTATTATAGCATTCAACAGCAAGGGAGCTGAAAATACTAGGGAAATAAACATCCCTCTTGAATCGAAATATTGGTATTTAGAAAATAACCTGAAATAAATAAAACACGTGTTACTCAGCATACTTCATACATTACATTTCAATAAAAAATAATTCCTGTACATGTATGTTCTGCCTGTATGCATACTGTAACCAATTCTACCCTTTCACTTCTGCACAATATTTTTGTTAATATGTACACTGCAATTAAAAACCTGCAGCTAGCCTGTGCCAGCTGACTCGGGATGTTTATCTTCCGTGTAGATGTTTGGGCTCGGCTGCAGCCTGGGCTCAAGGAGCCTCCCACATTGGATCCTAATGGATAGGCTGCAAACTGAGCCCCAACATCTACACCGCAACTGAGGGTATGTCTCTGCAATTAAAAACCTGCAGCTGGCCTGTGACAGCTGACTTGGGCTACCACATTAACTCCCTAGCCTAAGCCTCGCAAGCCCAAGTCAGCTTGCATGGGCCAGCTGTGGGTACGCAACTGCAGTGTAGACATACCCAAAGTGACTAATAGATACAACTTCCTCTTTGAAAATTGTCTGTGCACATTCACATTAGGAAGCTATGCTTACGCATCAGAAAGAAAACACACACTTACATTTATGAAATAGCCCTTCTTTTGTAGGCACCAATTTCAATTATTCCCGATATTTGAATACATGAAGTATTTAAGCATTAGGGCCAGAATTTTCAAGCATTCATATCTTAAGTTTGGCACACATATCAATAGTTAGATGTCTAAATAAAAACACCTAATTTTCAGGGTGATGCACACCTATAGCTGTCATAAGTCATGGGAAGATATAGATGCTCAGTACCTCTGAAAAAAATCAGGCCAATTTTTTTTAGGTGTCTAAATACAGATTAAGAGCCAGATTTTTAAAGGCATATAGGCACCTAAAGAGGCTGTCATAAATATAAAGGGAAGGGTAAACCCCTTTAAAATCTCTCCTGGCCAGAGGAAAAATCCTCTCACCTGTGAAGGGTGAAGAAGCTAAAGGTAACCTCGCTGGCACCTGACCAAAATGACCAATGAGGAGACAAGATACTTTCAAAAGCTTGGAGGATGGAGAGAATCAAAGGGTCTGTGTCTCTCTGTCTATATGCTGCTTTTGCTGGGGATAGGCCAGGAATGGAGTCCTAGAATTTTAGTAAGTAATCTAGCTAGGTATGCATTAGATTATGATTTCTTTAAATGGCTGAGAAAAGAATTGTGCTGAATAGAATAACTATTTCTGTCTGTGTGTCTTTTTTGTAACTTAAGGTTTTGCCTAGAGGGATTCTCTATGTTTTGAATCTAATTACCCTGTAAGGTACCTACCATCCTGATTTTACAGGGGTGATTCCTTTACTCCTATTTACTTCTATTTCTATTAAAAGTCTTCTTGTAAGAAAACTGAATGCTTTTTCATTGTTCTCAGATCCAAGGGTTTGAGTCTGAGGTCACCTACGCAAATTGGTGAGGCTTTTTACCAAACCTTTCCCAGGAAGTGGGGTGCAAGGGTTGGGAGGATTTTGGGGGGAAAGACGTGTCCAAACTACGTTTCCCAGTAAACCCAGTTAGTTTTTGGTGGTGGCAGTGGTTATTCCAAGGACAAAAGATAAAATTAATTTGTACCTTGGGGAAGTTTTAACCTAAGCTGGTAAAAGTAAGCTTAGGAGGTTTTCATGCAGGTCCCCACATCTGTACCCTAGAGTTCAGAGTGGGGGAGGAACCTTGACAGAGGCAGATAAGCATCTAATGGGATTCTAAAAAGCAATTAGGTGTCTAACTCCATTGATTTCAGTGGCAATTAGGTAGTTGTGCACTTTTGAAAATTCCACCAGCTGCCCATGTGCAACTTTGTGCCTAAATACCCTTAAAAATCTGGCCCTACGTGCTTAGTTTTAGGCACCCAAGTTTGACCTCAGTAAGTCATACCTCCCACTTTGCCCAGGCTTGACTCAGACATATAAACAGACAAGTTTTATCACAACTTGCTGTTCCAGCATTATGTCTCTTGAGTAGAGACCAATCATGCAAAAATTTCAATGTTCTTGCACAAATAAAAATATGGATGAATTTCATGACCAAAAGCAAAAATACCTTCCACCTCCTCTCAAAAACACACCTAACCTTGTTTTCACTTGTTACTTAAGAGTTTTCACACGTTTTCTGGGGTTAGTTTGAACTAAAACAAAAACCAAATAACCTGAATCTGTAAAGTTATTTTTAAAGATGGTCAAACAAGCATAAAAACAATCCATTTTCTCACTTAAGGATAAGAGTTAGGTATACACTACTAAACAAAATATAATACTTAGCACATATTGTATTATGATTTTAATGTTCTTTTTTTTGTTAACTAATGAAACCATTCATTATCCTACTTTCCACTGTTGAGGGATGTGACACTTCATTTAGAAATTGCCTTTGAGGACTGTACAGAAAAACCAGCATTCCCAATAAAAGCAAAATTTAAATATGAAAATAAAAGTTAATGTAATTACCTCCAATTCATAGCAGCCAGTTCATTGATATATTCAGCACAATACACCAAGGCAACTGGATCACAGAAGGAAACTAATATTAGGTTGAACATTTCTTGACAAATGCACAGCTGGTGATCAGTTCCGAGTCTATACACATTTTTATATATAGTAACTCCTTACTTAAAGTCGTACTGGTTAACGTTGTTACGTTGCTGATCAATTACCGAACATGCTTATTTAAACTTCTGTGTTCAGACAAGGCTACCATACAGTAAACACTTTAAAAAAACACAGAGTCCCCATTCTTCCCAAGACTACCTCCTTGCTATTCAACTTTGTCATCTTCAATGCGGCCAATATAGACACAAAGTACATACAAACCACTTAACTGCTAAATAATTCTCAACCACAAAACCACCCTAAATTAAGCAAAGCCAAGTCTTCAACAAGACCAAAAGATTTAAACTATTTTTTTGAGTTACTAGTTCAAGCTGTTTGGGAAACAGGGCACAAATAAATCAGGCCTATTATAGTAAAAAGGGGGAAGTTTATTATATATATATATATACACACACACATACATACACACACACACACACAGTTGAGTGGTATATTACATTACTAAGTGGTGTGTGATCGTATATAATAACAAATGAACGCAAACAAAATTATAATCACTAGTGTGCAATAGAGAAGGTGTATAATAATATATATAACTTTAAAGATATGGATGCCGATTTCAAACTGAAACACAAACTCAGGTAAGTTATTAATTCTCTACTCACCCATGCAGAGAAAATGCCCTATCTGCAGGTGGTAGCGCTGGAATGAAAAGCAAGTGATCAGAAAGCAGAGGATGTGGAAAACTGCAAGTCCCAACAGCCATGGTTCAGACCAGTCTGTCTGCTGCAGACAAAACATAAAATCAACTAAGAAACTTTTACGAAAGAGAAAAAACTTTCATCTTGCGTGTACCCACACTAACCTTGTTACTCTAGGCTTACGTATTAACAATATAACAATCTTAGACGGTTTACGTGTGTTCCTGGCAAACCTAGAATTTTACTTTACTCTTCTAAATTACTGACATCAGAAAAGCTCAGCCTTGGAATGCAGATTAAGAAAACGATTTAACATGAAAGCAGACAGCCCCAACTTAAAGCTTCCTTTAAGGAAAGAAACAAACAAAATGAAGTAAAACAGACTGGTCTGTGACATTACGGACACTTACACGTGTGAGTCACTTCACTTCCATGCAGTGGGATGCCTCACATCACCAGTGTTTGCAAAGTAGGGCCTCGCATACATTCGGAGGCCAGGGACACCCATAATTGGGCCTGTGTGAGGAGGGGTTGGACAGCTTCACTCCCTCATGCCCAGAGAGCCCTTTCCGCCGCCAGAATACGGGAGAGAGCCCAATAACGCCCGGTACGTCACGTACCAGAGGTCCCTGATTACTGCCCCAAAGGCAGCCGAATTCCCCCTATTCCACAGACTGAGGTACCAGAGCCCAACAGTTCCCCCCAGCGGGGCCCCGTTAATACCCCCCTCACCGCCCCCCACCCTCCGGCTCCGCACAGATCCCCGGCCTCACCCATCCATCGCCCCGCCCCACGGCCCCTCCCTCCCGTGCTTGATGAAGATCCCCCACCCCCGCGCGCACTCTCTCTCTCCCTCGCCAGGGTGGGCGGGGGAAGTTACCGCCAGTATCGCGGGGAGGCCGGTAGGCACGCGCTGCGGCGGTTCCATCTCTGCCGAGGCCGCCTCCCTTCATTCTCGCGAGAAGTTAGGGGGGAAATCCCGCGAGATAGATGGGGAATCTACGTTAGGGCTCGCGGCCTTTCACAGCACATATAGGGCAAGACAGCGAGCGCGCGCGATAAGGGGTAGCGGGTGTTGGTGTTTTCTGCGCAGCCTCGTTCCCGGCTCGGCAGGTGTCTGTTGTGGGGGGAGGGGGTCACCCTTCTCCTGCACTTACACAGCGCAGCCAAGCTACCCTGGTGCCCCATTCTCGCAGGGCTGCCAGGGGGTGCAGGGCAGGGCCGCTCTGGGAGGCGTTCCCGCGATCATTGCTGCCTGCCTGGCGCTGGAGCAGGGTGGGGAGGTGCGTGCCCTTACGTTTGGCTCCTATCCTGCTGGGGTGCTCAGTTCCCTTCCACAGCCCGGGTAGACGTCTATGGGTGGGAAGGGGTGTCTGTTGTGGGAAATAGGGGACTGTGATAAACGGGGCCTGGGAAGAGGGTGAAGCAGAAGAAACATCTTTCCGTCAGCACTACAGTTATTCAGAGCCTCTGGATATGTCTACATTGCAGTGTAAAACACTAGGGTTATTCGGAGTCCAGTCAGCAGACCCATGTGAGGGAACCCTGGACTTGAGCGTCTACATTGCATTTTAATCCTAGGTTACAAATTTTTTGTTCTGTGGTGGAATCTAGGGCTCTAGGCATCCACGCTGTAGTGCACCCGGACCTGAGTCGAAGTAAACCTGGCCAGGAGTTGATAGCAGCTGCCTCCCACTCCCCATGTCAGCTCTGTAGCCCTAGAAGGGTGGTCCTGTTGGGATCCAAGAAGTGGGCTGGCAGAAGCTAAAGGATCTCCCCACAGCTAAAGGGGAGGATGTATAGGTCCGGGATTCTAAATGTTTGTGGGGGACAACTAAAGATATAACAGGAACGGGAGTGAGGTCACAGGGCTAAACGAGGGGAACCTGATGGGGACACCAAGCAGAAAACCCACCACTCCTCTAAGGTGTCAAGGGAGCCAGCAGATGCTGCCCAGAGGAACTCTGCCCTGATGTGTGAATGGATTGAGCAGTGGAAAATAATATATCTAGAAGGAGCCAGAATAGGGGCTGCAACCTGACGCACGCCAGATATACATGCACCAGTGTCTCCCTCATGCGCAAAAGGGACAGGTGTCTAGGGCGGGCGTGAACTGCGCCAAGTACACGCCCATGTAAGGAATAGGAAGCGCTTACCTGGGGCAGCTTCCATTTAGTGCAAGGGGTGCAGGTGAATATATGGGCAGGAGGGCGCAGGAGCTCCCCATTTGGTGCTCAGGGTGGGGGTGGGGATGTGGGGGGGGGTGCAGGAATCAGGGCATGGGGCTTGGGGGGTATGTGTGGGGGGTGCAGGAGTCAGGAGATGGGGTGTGGGGGGTTGGGTATGTGTGGAGGTGCAGGAGTCAGGACTGGGGTTGTGGGGGGTGCAGGAGTCAGGGCAGAGGGCTGGAGTGTGTGAGGGGGTGCAGGAGTCAGGGCAGGGTGTGTGAGGGGTGCAGGAGTCAGGGCTGGGGTTGGAGGGTGCAGGAGTCAGGGCAGAGGGTTGGGTGTGTGGGAGGGGAGTGCTGGGGTCAAGGCTGGGGAGGTGGGCTGGAGTTGTGGGGGTTCTCCCAGCCCCCTGTTCTGAGCCGTTCACAGCAGGGGGCTGGAGAAGGGATTCCACCCCCGTTCCCAAGGCCCTGCCCCCGCCTCTTCTCCGCTTCCTCCTCTCTCTCCCCAGTACACAGCTGAATGGGGGCAGGGAGAGAGAGTGAGAGGAGGAGGGGTGAGTATGCTGCACGTTGAGGGAAGAGGCAGGAGCTTGGCTGCTGGCTGCTGTGGAGCAGCAGGACACAGCCTGGGGTGTGCAGCACCACCAAGCTTCTGCTCCCTCAGGGGAGAACAGAGGCGGAGAAGAGAGGCCGGGCCAGGGCCCCCCCTACCCCGGACTCCCGTGCCCCCCATCTCTGGCAATCCGGCTGTCCCTTTTTTTTTTTTTTTGCACTTGGGGCAGCCCTGATTAGGATGTGCCTGAGCACATCCGGCACACCCCGTGCGCACACCTATGGCCCCATCTTTACATTTGGACTAGACTGCAGACTGAAGTGTGCTATACCTGGAACTAACTGTAAGGCCACACAAACATCAGCAAGTCCAGGATGTAGATTCTCATTTTATGAGTGGAACACTCTGGTGAATTTGGCCCAGTTTAGATTTAGTGGGTTGCCGAAGACAAAGGTCCCTATGTTTCTGACAAGCTCCAAGTACAATGGAAGTCGTTGCCTCCCATAGCTGGGCCCAGGCTGTTTAGAATTTTGTGTGTGATGCTTAGTGGTAGCCAGTGCAGAGTTCGTGTGTAAACTTTGTAGGAAAACAGGCATTGCCATACTGTATCAGACCAACGGTCCATCTAGGCAGATGTTACATATTGGTCAAAGGCAAAATTCATGGAACAGTTGTTACCAGAAGATTTTAATTCAATTATATTAAGCCAGGTACACTGCCTAAAATAATATTTCTAATTTACAACTTTAATTTCCAATTTACCTAAACCGGTAACCAACCCGCCCTAAAGGAATTGCCAGGGAAGCAAGTTAACCTTGCTGACCCTTGAAAGAACACGGATACAGCCCTCCAATCAAGAATAGACAAGCAAGCAGTAAATCTTCAAAAACAAAGTCTTATTTATTGAGAGAAAATTAGGTGGTTATAGTATGTTCAATTAAAGCAGAAATGAAAAGGGAAAAAATACAATGTATAAGAGGTAATAAAGCACAATTGGATTACTCTTTGAGATCATACTTTTAACTGGTACAAGAGACTACAGACTAAGACAAATACAATGTTGTGATATTTGCACACACTGAATTTTTTATACATATGCATAAGGCCTCTAATAAAAAAATTGGACTTATTACAAAGTACCATACAAGTCCCTGATGCATATGCATAAAACAGCACTACAATATAGCATTAAAGAAAACTGAATTAACAGTTACCATTCTGTGAGCAGTGGTCGGCCTCTCACAGAATGGGGTTGAGTAAGTCACACTTAAAAGCAGGCATCCAGCTTTATTGACATATGCACACAAAGTTATTCTTTAAAATTGATAGAAAATCAAACTTACAGCTCTTGTATAATCCCTCTGTCTTGTCTGGGTCAAGAGTCAGCAACTTTTCAAAAAAGAAGAGCCATTTTTTGTTTTTGTCTTTGACCAAAATATTTCAAGAGCTACATGAGATGCAAAGCTTCTTGTAGAGTTAAAATTTATCAACTAATAATAATTGAACATATTAAAGTTATTGCTACTCACCAATACTTTTAATGTGACTTCTGCTGTTGGACATCTTTAGAGAGTTGCTCAATGTTCGGTGAATATTCTGTAATTTTCATTTTCAAGCAGAACTCAAGACTAATATCTTGCACTTGGCTCCTCAGTTTATTTTTGATGAAATTCATGTTGGAAAACACTTGTTCACAGAAGTACATTGAACCGAAGATTGAGAGAAGCCCAAATATGTATTTCTTCAGATGACTGTACGATCTGGTAGACAATTCCAAACATTGAAGTGCAATGGAAGTCATTGAACATTTAGGTTGGATATTAGGAAAAACTTTTTCACTAGGAGGGTGGTGAAACACTGAAATGCGTTACCTGGGGAGGTGGTGGAATCTCCTTCCTTAGAAGTTTTTAAGGTCAGGCTTGACAAAGCCCTGGCTGGGATGATTTAATTGGGGATCGGTCCTGCTTTGAGCAGGGGGTTGGACTAGATGACCTCCTGAGGTCCCTTCCAACCCTGATATTCTATGATTCTGTCTGGTCTTGCCATTTAAGGTCATCCATTTCAGACCACTTGTGTTGTAGCCCCAGGGTAGATTTCTGCCTTTCCAGATTTTCGAGTTCAGTGACAAGATCTTTCAATTTTGAATTCCATAAATCCTTGTCTTGCATGTCCACTACTTGAGTTGATCTGTTTCTACAAATTTAATGCAGAAGTGTCAGCTTCAAGCGGTTTCAACAGAAATGACAAAGTGGCCTTTTCCCTTCTGAACTCATGAAATCAGTCAGAAAATGCAGCTTGCATTTTGATGACTGTTTCTGCAAGGAACTTAATGTCAAAGTCACAGTCATTTGTTTGTATTGCTTCAGTGTTGGGAAATGCACTAACATGCCAGTCTCAATGTTCCTTGCGAACAAAGACAGCTTTCATTCAAATGAAAGAACTTCTTTCAGAAGCGAAATTGCAGTATTTCCTTTTCCCTATGTAGCTTCCGATTGAACACGTTTAAAAGAGAAGGTAAATCCACCATGAAACTGAATTTCTGCAGCCACTGAGGATCTGTTAGTGCTGTATATTTAAGACCCTTTTCTTGGAGGAACACCCTAATTTCCTCAAGACATGACACAAACCTCACCAGGACTGTGCCTCTGGAAAGCCATCTTACCTTGATATACATGAGAAGATCAGAATATTGGCTGTTAACTTCTCAAAGAAACTCACAAAACTGCCGATGATTATTTTGTTAACGATCTGCATGACCATTTCCATTACTTTTGAGATTTCCTCTGGAAAAGTTTGTGCACACAGTGCCTCTTGGTGGGTTATGCAGTGAAATGAAATTACATCGTGCTCCATACTTTTTTTAAGTAAAGAAATGAAATCTTCATGCACCGTGCTCCATCTGTAGCAATAGAAATTATTCTGTTTATGTCAATATATTTTTGTTTCAGATGTTCAGTGACAGCAGATGCAATATCTTTGCTCCAAGTTTGTCCTTTGAGTCTTCTAGATGACCTTGATCTTTAACGTATCTGCCGAGTAAGGCAACCTGAGTGATGTCATCCACATCGCATGTCCCATCGCAGGGAATAGAAAAACCTGGTGCTGATCGTCTGTTGCCATCTTAATAGTTCTGTCCTTTACAGTCTTCGCAGATAATGGCATTTCTCTAATTTTCTTAACTGTTTCATCTTTGTTTTTAAAATCACCAAAGAGGTGCTCAGATGTTTTAATGAAACATTCTTTCA